AGGGATGGGGTGGAGGTGGGGGTAGAGCCATTTTTTTTTCAAAGCCAACTTAATTCTTACAGTGGCAATTCTTTTTTGGCATACAATACTAGATTTCCTTGATATACTATAAATGTAGTTAAAAGAGGCAACCAGCATTTCAATGAACATTTTCAATTTAATGTTTTTAAAAAGTCTCCCTTGCTTTTTGCCTGAATAGTATTAAAGTTTCGCATTTGGTATTTTGCGCAGGTGTAACATGATATTGTGTGGAATTCTTTTTTGTCCCCCGCTTGAAAAGTGGGGGATATTAATTTGGGTTTGTCCGTCCGTCCGTCTGTCCGTCCGTCTGTCCGTCTTTCTGTCTGTCTGTAACGCTTTCGTTTCCACACGATCTCGAGATTTGAGCTTTTGCAAAAATTTAGCATAGCAACTTCCTTGGACAAAGAAGACCCATTGATTTTGAGGTCAAAAGGTCAAAGGTCAAGGTCATAAATAAGCAAATTCTGTCGATTAAAACACTTTCGTTTCCACACGATATCTCTAGAACCATTTGAGCTACTGCAATGAAATTTTACATAACAACTTCCTAGGGTCTAATGAAGACCCCTATTGATTTTGATAAAAGGTCAAAGTTCAAGGTCGTAAATTTATACAGGTAACCTAGCATTTTTTGAGCTTATGCAATGTAATTTTATACCAAAACTCCCTAGAATGTTTGTTTTATTGTCGCTATTTTTAGCGCAATTATTGCGTAAAACAGTAATTACATCTATTAGAACTGTTTAATAAAGGCTAAATAAATCAAACACCAACTTTGAAAACATGAATATATACATGTATTTGCATATACTTAACGGCATGTAAAGCGATTCCGTGGTCTGGTGGTTATGTCTCTCGCTTCAAATGCAGAAGCCTTTCTTTTTTTTTCTTTAAATACTTTTTTTTTTACTAAATGATAGTGTTCAGCATGCGAAATGAAAAATTTATGAGGCTATAAAATCATCATTACAGTGTGATAAATATTCCATATAAAAAAATCTTCTATACACATAATAAAGAATAAGCAATCAAATCTTTATATGCATATTGACATACATGTATTTTATTTCCTTCAGTATACATGTTTACATTTAATAATTCTACAAATTCAGTGTGTGGGGGAATTCTTTTTATTGTTTTGAACTCTTTTTGTTTAAAAATGCAGATTCGAATGTATATCTAATAATCATTTTGATTGATTTAGATTACATGTATATCACATGTTTGTATTAGTGATTTCATTTTGGCACAACATGATTTCCACACTTCTTTATCCGTAGTCGATAACAGCTGTAGAAGTTCACCCAACCGAAAATGTCTACTAGCAGAGGGGCATTATACCTTAAATTATAAAGTTAGATTGTTATTTTTAAATTCAGATACAGAACTCAGGGGGGTTTTTTTTGGGTCTTAAAATCAAGGGTCTGTGGCCCGTTTCATCAAAGATCGTACGCCTAGTCGTTCACGTAGCGCAAAGCCATTGTATACAGTTAACATGCTTAAGTTTGGCCAAAATATGTCTACTCATTGGTAGGCATGAGTTTAATTTAACTATGAAGATTTTGGGGAGTGGAAATTGGGAAGGGGGGTACACCCAACCGGGGAGATAGTTGACATACTCTAAATTTCTTCATAAATGATTGCCTTATTTGGGATTCAATTTAATACTGTATCTTTAATTTTGACAATCCTGCATTTATACGCATTTAATTGTATATTTTATTTATGATGAGGCATTCACTAGAAAGAAACCTATTAAAAACGTACTTTTTTTGGGGGGGGGGGGGGGTTACATTTTTCAACAAATCGTAAAACGAAGTGGGCCTCTTAAAAATATAATTATACATGTACATGTATATATCGTGCTCGAAAACTCCAAATCTTAATTACCTGTTTGCTTCACGTTTAGACGCATGAATCTATAGAGTGTGGCCAGGGAGGTTTAATTATTGAAGTACAATTCAAGTGTATAGTAGGCGAGGAATGAAAATTACCTAGGACCCTGTTAAACAGTTTAGTACGTTGGTAGGAAGAACCATAGTTATAAAGTTTATATTGGAATTGAAGGGAAGGACATCCCAATAAGATTTTTAGATTTTGGAAAGGAAATTACAATTTTTAATTTTTCAACAAGTTTTTCGGATGGAAGTTTTGTTTACTGATGACTATGTCCCCCTCACCTTTGAAAAGAAAACGCAAGGAACCACTCTTACGTGCAGAAAAGGTTGTTAGCGTTCAAAAGAAGAGAAAAGATTCCAGTTGATAATAAATTAAATATGCTTGTAAAAATTTTTTGTTTTTACAAATTAGAGATGATTTTACTTTATGGACTAGAGGCAGCAAATTTAGTCACTCGAAAGATTCTAAGTATCAGCGTTGGAGAATCTTGACTTTTATACTATTGTTTAAACAATGAATGATAGATTTCTGAAAGGTTCAAAATGAATGCCGATGGCACTTGCCTTTTTTTATCGGAAAAATTAAAAAGATTCCACATTTTAGAAAAATAAATGCTACAATTTATCAGGAACAAATCAGAGGCGTAGACACAAACTTAAAAGTGGGGGGAGGGCTCAACTCCAGAAATTCTTTGAAAAGCAAAAAAAAAAATATATAAATAAATAAAAAAAAGAGTAAGAAAGAAAAAAATGAAAGTTCCTCAAACTCGAAAATCCTACTTCGTGGTGGTGGTGGTGGTGGTGGTGGTGTGTGTGTGTGTGTGTGGGGGGGGGGGGGGGGGGTAATGGCCAATATTTTTTTAAAGGCAGGGTACTTTCAATTCCATTTTTTTTCACAATTCCTTGATATAACTATACTAGGGTCAACAAGTAGGGAGGGGGCAACTATCCCTTCAATGAACATTTCCTTTAGTAGACGTAGTGTTGTGATTTTGTTCCGCATTAAAAAGTGGGGGGGGGGGGGGCACAGACATACTCTTGCCCCCCTCCGACCTGAAAGTGGGGAGGGGGGGGGGCTTGTGCCCCCGCTGCCCCCTGTGACGACGCCTATGGAGCAAATAGTATGGCATACAAGGTACACTGTACATGTAATGGAAAAATCTGTGATTTTTCATGATGATGCATATTTTGTATTATTTTAATGATTCTTAATAATTTAGTTGATTCGTCCATTATGTATGCCGAGTTACTTATACAATATTGTAACGAGTTCTCTCTCTTTTCCAGTATCAAATCCAAGGGGTGACATTGGGGGTGGGGGAGGGAGAGAGTGTGTGTGTGTGTGTGAAAAAAACATTTACAAAAACATTTCTTTTTAGAGTTTAATCAGATGGCATGTTACAAGTCGTTAATATTTTAATATAAGTAGATTTAAGATGCATGTTTTCTATAATGTCCCCAAAAATTCATGCAGCGGTGTCAAGTACTTAGTCCTGAGACTGAGGATATTGTTTGTACGAAAACGCAAATTAAGCCCGACTAAATATTGGCGTAATCCGTGGACACACTGTTATAACGCACTTTGAAAATTTACGCACTTTGAAAAAAAAAATTCAAAGTGCGTTAAATTTGGGACCAAGCTAACTCACTTTGAAAAATAAATTTTCTTTTCAAAGTGCGTTTATATCGACCATGTTAACGCAATTGAGGTTATCTAACATTAGACAAATGAAATGAAGAATTGACTACTTGGCGCAGACATGGAAAGTGGTCTAAAATTAAATGCTAATAGTCAGTGCATGGATTAAAAAACAGGTGATAATTGACTTACAAATTTTATCTTAAATAATATAGTCATTAATAGATTATACCTTTAATTAAAGGTTTAAAGTTTTTATCTAAAATTAAAGTTTACTATAGGTTGCTACTACAACAGATCAAAGCCAAAAAATTTTACATGTACAAGTTATGCTGTTAAAAAATGTTACCAGAAAAAGAGAAAGGGGGAGGATGGATGGAGAGGCGTTGGTATATATAAAATATTATAGTATAAGAATTATTTGTTTCTATACATAACGTCTACAAATCTTGATATTTAAAAATGCAAGTTATTTTTGGGCGAAATCGGTATATTTTGATAGGAAAATAACTTGGGTTCCCTAAGGTTGAATGTATCCATACTTGTAAATATATACAGTCTACTTAAGGTGTATAAACCAGCATTGCATACGTCTCCTTAAGGTATATATTGCATATGTCTACCCAAGGTATATATATGGCAAATGTCTCCCTAATGTATTTATATTGCATAATTATGTCTCCTTAAGGTATATATTGCAAATGTCTCCCTAATGTATATATATTGCATATGTTTCCTTAAGGTATATATTGCATATGTCTACCTAATGTATATATATTGCAAATAATGTATATATATTGCATATTGCATATGTCTCCCTAAGTATATATATTGTATATATATTGCATAATTTGTCTATGTGAAGCCCTATCTGAATAACCATATATATTGCATATGTCTCCCTAAGGTATATATATTGCATATGTCCCCTTAATGTATACAATATGGTTTTTAAATATTAGGGGGACACCAAATTATATATATCTTTAAAAACTAATGTTTTCTTAATTTTTATTGTGAAAAACTCAAAATTGTTCTTTGTTATATATAAATTTGCACTTAAAACATCACAAAGTAAAAGATTAAAAAATATACATCACAAAGTAAAAGATTATATATATATATATATATATATATATATATATATATATATATATATATATATATATATAGTCCCCTTTTTTAAACGGCAGAATATTATGTCTGGTACGACAAGCCCCTGTGCTATATACTAGTATATAGGTCCCTGATTTATCTATTTTTCTTCTTTTTTTTTTAAAGAAATTGTAAAAGGGGCTGTATATTAGGAAGATGGGGGACTTTTTACCTGAGGCATCTGTGCCGTGATCTTTGTGTAAGATTGATTTTGTTGTCATGTTCAGTTGAGTATGAAGAAATAGTATTTTCTCAAATCTGATTTTTTAACGTCGGGATCGGCATTCAATCCCACATGCACTTTGACCGCAGCTATGGCGAGCTCCATGATTAACAATGTGTTTGGTAGAGACGCCTCGGCATATTTTGCGACATTTGGACTTGTTGCAGCGTCCTATCTAGCACTTAAAGTTGCATTTAATGTAATCAAAGCGTTGAAAGCAGTTGTTTTTGCTGGATCTACAAATTTCAAAAAATTAGGATCATGGGCAGGTAATGATACGTACGTGTATTTACTCATCACTCAAGGCCGCAGGATAGGGTGCATTCGCATTCCTTTTAAACAAATGTCAGTTAAAAAAAAAATAACAGGGATATTCTCTACTCGGAACGCCACTTTGAGAATTGGGCCTATGCCCTTGGAGTTTGTAATTAAACTACCTTTAATCAGTTATTCAGTTGGTAAATTTTAGTGCAAATATGATACAAGAAATAAACACTTCTAATGAATAAAATCGATCATTTACTTAATTATTCTGAACTGTAAATCAGAAAATAAATCAATAATAATATTAGCCAACTTTCTTTCAATTTTGTTTATTTCATTCAGATTTCCAGACCTGATCATGACGTTTAATTTCCCCCCAGAACTTTGATCAAGTTTATGGGTTCATTTTTTGGGGAAAGGAAGGATTATGAGAATTTATGGGTCCTTGAATAAATTCATTTTTTTATCTGTTAAAGCAATGCAGGTAGACTTTTGTTTGTTTTATGAAAAATGTGTCAAAAATTCTCTCAACATTGGTCTTGATTATTGACGCATTTCTCAGGAATTTACCACTTCTTAAGTTTGTCAGGAAAGGGAAATGACAACTTGGGTGTAGAAACATTCTTATCAATTGTCTATATATGGAAAGATAAAAAGCAACTGTGAGGCGAAAAAAAAAATTTCAAGGTCACTAAGTGGGTTGGCCAGAATGATCAGTGATAAAAGTAAAGATATCGACTAGTTGGTATTTACAGTTCACTAAAAGATAGGGATGTAAATCAATATAAAAAATTATAATCTGTGAGAGTACATGTAATAGGATTATTAGCATAGACTTTTAGACCATGTATATTATAAATACTTAAAATCTGTACCTTTTCCTCATTTGTTTCCTGGTAGGCTTGCATGGTTGTATCGTTTCTTTGTTGTATTTGAATTATTAAGTGGTAATGCGGGGTTCTTGACTGTCTGTATATGAAAATATTGATATCTGCATAGATAGTATTCCTCTTTCTCTCATTTACTTTTTAATCATTCAATAAACACTATCCTTATTCTTTCTGTTTTGATTTCATCCAGTTTTACGACACAGAGTAATGTCTCTTCTTTTTTTTAATCATATAAAAATGAAATACACTCTGATAACACAAACACCAAACACATATTGATATGACAGAATATAACTCATTCGCATTCATAAGATTTATTAAAACTGTAGGACTGAATGATGATGAGGTTATATTTTTAAGGTCCTGTCTACAATTTGATTTAATCAGCAGTTTCAGCACATGTTCAAATGTGGCAATGTGGATGAATGACAATATATTCAACATACTTAATTGTATAAAACAAACATTACAAAGAATAGTGTACTACATATGTATTTTTATAAATGGACTGAAGAAAAAATGATAGATTTCAATTTGAAATGAGGAAATATAGTTGATAAGATATATATTCTTTGTTTTCCTTCAACTCCTTAGAAAAATGATATCCCATTCTTTGTTTCTTTTCAGTTGTTACAGGTTCAACGGATGGCATTGGAAAGGCTTATGCAAAAGAGGTAGGTAACTCTTATAATACAGACTCCTGAAATTTGAGAGAACTTTTCTTTCTCTAAAAAAAAATGAAAGAAAATTATTGTTTTATCTTAAACTCTGATGATGAATATTTGTAGATCTTAATGATTAGAATAGTGTAAATCAATGAAAGTAAAAAAAATTATAATACTTTGTTAAAGTGTCAGGAGTTTTATGGTACTGAAATTTTCACATCTAAATTGAATTATTTGAGATAATTTATTTTTATTTTCAGTTAGCTAAAAAGGGCATCAATATTGTTTTAATAAGTCGTTCAGAAGCAAAACTTCAGGAGGTTGCCAATGAAATAGGTATTAGAATAAAGCCTTAAAATTTTAATTTATATTATACACACAATAGGATGTTACTTGTAGTATGTAACATATGCAATGGTATCTAAAATTTGCAATGGTGCATGACAAATACTGTGATGTTTTAATCAAGTACAATATGCAGTATTTTGATTTTTTTGTTTTTCAGAAAAAGAGAGCAAAGTTCAAACTAGAATTATTGTGGCTGACTTCAGTAAAGGTCTGGAGTTGTATGATTCCATCAGGAACCAGTTAGCTGGCCTGGAGATTGGAACACTGGGTAAAGGGAATAACATCCCTATTTTAAAGATTTCCTATAAAGTGTTTTTTAATGGATACAGTCCCCTTTATGACAGTTGTTCTTGGAAAAGAAAAAACAGAAAAATGAGATAATAACTAAGACATTATTTTAAATAAGCCCTACATGTAATTCTTTTTTCTCGCGAGCTCCTAAAAAGTTTTTTTTTTTTTGCCTTTTTTTCAGTAAACAATGTGGGAATGTCATATTCTTTTCCCAACTACCTTTTGGATTTACCTGATAGAGAAGAGGTAAGAAAATTATAAAACACAGAAATTAGTCTACTTCAATTTTGTCGGGCACTTCAATAATTTTAAAAACCTGAATTTTTTTGGTCAGTTTATATGAAAGCTGCAGTCTGTGAACATTTTACCAAGGAATTATAAATTAATTACCCTGCATGACCTTTAAGTGCCCTTTAGCATGTTTTGTAATTATAGTCTGTCCAACCAATTGAAATAATCTTGAGCCAAGTTTGCAAGATTAAGCAGATGAATCTCTAATTAACATTCTGATTATATCCCCTTGGCACTATCTTATTCATACTTCACTAAAAGTTTGCCCATGAATAAAGAGTATAATTTGACCCAAACTTTCTACATGTAGGTGAGAGCTCTAGGTCAAATTAGTTAATGGAGAACACATTTACTATCCTGCTACATATATTTCACTCAAACTTCACTCTGACTATGATAAAATTTTCTTATATAAAAGGTCAACATCAAAATCAAGCCTTGATCTTCTTGAAATCATTTTCCAGAACATTTTCCTATTCTGCTATCCCAATCTATCTCAAATGTAAAAGGTTTGCCATGGATTTTTAGCCAGGTCAAAATCTTCTCTTTTCACCCTGGCAAAAATCCTCTAAGAGCTTGAGTTCTCTGTAATAACCACAGTACTTTCTTAACAATACTGCTCCTTTAATATATGCTGGGTAATTTGAATAGTAACTATTTCAAACATATATATGTAATTATATCATTTGATGTGTCTGTCATGTAAATGTTACATGAATTTTTCTCATTATTGATATCGTTTAATTCATTTCAAACATTTTTTTCTTACAGTTTTGTATGAAAATGATCAACATTAATGTAACATCTGTAACTATGGTATGTTATACTGTCTCCAAAAATGCTTTTACAATATTTAGATACATTGTGCAATCATTGTATTTTGTAAAGGATAAATATGATATGTTATGGAGGAATTTTTAAAAAATTTCAGTCGATGCACATCCTGAGTTTCAAATCCTTGTCACTTAATTGATATAAGATCTTTTCAAATGTCACTGTTTTCTGAAGCTTTACTGCAATAATTAAGAGGACTTCCTTATAAATGTGTACATAGTCTCAGGTCTGCTACATTTAAACTTCAGTTTGATTGTTTTACATTGTAATTGGTCATTGTAGATGACTAGCATTGTGATGCCTGGTATGGTAGAGAGAAGGAGAGGTGCCGTCATAAACCTGTCATCTGCCGCAGGACTGAACCCCACCCCTCTGCTCACTGTGTACTCAGCCTGCAAGGTGAGTGATTTATCTGCTAATAATTATAAGTGTCTAACCTGTTGAGCGGTAGCCCAGCTACTGCTTACAGTGTACTCTACCTAAAAGGTAAATGACCTATTTTAACCAGCTTCTCCTCAGTATGGGACCGAGACCACACTTCTATCCACAATATTCCCTGCATGTAAAGTAACATTCCAATGAAAATTAGATGTAAGATCCACTCGCATACTCGCTACACTAACATCTAACACCATCCCATAGAGGGTCAGGTTAGAGGTCAAATTCGATACAATGCTAGACTTTGATTACGTCAACAAATATACGATGATTTTGCAGGCAACGATTCGATTGGTTGATAGAATTTGACCTCTGACTTGATCCTCTATGGGATATTGTTAGATGGTAGTTTAGCGAGCATGCAAGCTGATCTAAAATCTAATTTTCATTGGATTGGTAAAGTAAGAGATATGATCAATAGGTCCATTGCTACAGCTCACAGCTTACTCTTTATAGTAAGTGACCTGCTAGGATAACTGGGCCCCCATCTTCTACCCACATTTCTATATTCTGTCTTTAAAGTTAGGGACTAATCATTCTTAATATGCTCTATGCTACAGGGCTGAAACCCAGTCACCTAGCTGCCCCTCTTGAGGTATATTTAGCTTAGAATTATCAGTCTGCCCAATGCAACAGGGCTGATCCCCACTTCCCTGCTTCTTTTGAAGAATAAGGGATCTTTATCATTCTTCAATTACAAAATTAACCATTTTCATCATTCTCTGTCATTCCAAACCTTATAAAGTTGCAAATAATATATTTATATATGAAAAAAGAAACCAACTGTTTTGCTGTTTAAATGAATTTGATATTGATAGAAAATATCGTTAGACAGTGTTGTTCATTGTAATACGTAAATTACATAACAATTTGATGTTCATCATACAGGTTTATTATGCATCTGGTTATTATAGTATATGTATATTATATTAGATGTAATTGTGTGTTACATATACACAGTATTTACTTGTTTTCAGGCTTATGTCTCATTCTTCTCCCAGTGTATTCAGGATGAGTATGGATCTAAGGGAATTATTTGTCAGGTATGTTAAGAAATTTTATTTTTTGTGTGTTGTCCTTCGAGTTCAGGTACTGTATACAGGGTTATTTTCGCCCTATTGAACTTGTGAACAATTTTGCCCCATTTTAAATTCGTCCAGTCATAGTTCTGTTTAAGAAATTATGAGCTGTAATTTGAATTCGCCCCATTTTAAATTCGCCCAATCAAGGAAAGGGCGAAAATAAAACGGGGGCGAAAATTTCCCTGTATACAGTATTGCATTTATCTGAATGAAAAAAAAATCATAAATCAGATAATTATGTATTTTGATGCCCGAGATTCCAGGTATTGTTATTTCACTTGAATACATATGCACGTAACATTTGATGAGATTGAATGAGAATGCAATCATATGCTTGTATCTTTTTCAAGTTTTTTGTACTCTTTAAGATAAAAAACAAAATTTTGTAAAAACTTCACTTAGTTTGGCCCATATTATCATGATTATATACATTGTCAAGTCTAAAACCATCAAATTTTTCACTTACCAAATAGAAAAATTTGGTGATATTGAACCATTCATTATATATGTAACCATGTTTACAGAAATGTATTTGTATGTTACTTTGATGAATTGCATTTTAATTTGCTTTAATTGATCTTGTCTTAACTTTTAAACATGTACCGGTACTTTACTTTGTACATATTTTCACAGTGTGTGATGCCGTATTTTGTTGCTACTAAGATGTCCAAGATCAGGAAACCCTCTTTATTTGCACCTAGTCCCAATACCTATGTGAAATCCGCCCTGAATTCTGTTGGTGGATCAGTTGCTACCCATGGCTACTGGGCACATAACATGCAGGTATGTATTCTAAAGTGTCATAGACATTTTACTTGTTAACTTACAGAGCAAGAACATATGCAATGTACATGTACACAAACTTTACAGTGTACCTTTCCCATTGATAATTTTTGAAGATATTTTCAATTTTAAATCATATAGTCATAGTACTATAAAACATTCTTGCACAAGAAATCAGTGTACATTATCAGGAGTTTAGACCAGATCAATATCAATTGCTAGTATTTCTTAAAGAAAAAGAAATAACATAAATTAGTTTTAGCTTGTGATTAAAAGAACTGATTTAGAGGAGGTGTACAGTTTTCTTGGGCATCAAAAAATCACAAAAAAGTCCTTCAGTTATTAGGACTTTTCAGTTGAACAGGAAATAAGAATCTTTTGTTCAAAACTGTGTTGCATATGTTGTTAATTATTATATGAAAGACTAATTATGACAACTGACTTTAAAGTTCAGAAATGTTCAGAATAAAATAAGTTAATAATGTAGAGGTGACACATTTTCTGTTACTTTATACAGGGTGCAGTATCTAGCCTGTTACCGCCAGCATTCCTAAAACTGATGACCTTCAACATGATGGACAAAGCCAGGAAAGCTTACTTAAAAAAACTGGCCAACAAGAAGGAATAATGTTAATCAAGTCAATAGCATGCAATTATATAGTTGCGTAATTTTTTTTTTATAATTAAGTTTCAAGATGCTTCATCTACAGTACATTGCATAATGCCAGTATATGTATGAACATGTACTTTTTTTCCGAGGATTGATAGACATGCACAACATGTGTATAATCTATGCATAAACTCTACATTATTTTTTACATACATTTATGACTGTAAAAAATGCATTAAAGTCAATGTAGATGAAATCCACATCATCCATAGTCAATACCAGCTAGCCATGCAATACATAATGTATTCACTGAATGAGATAAGGTCTTGAAAAAATAAATATTTCAAATTTTCTGAATTTGTTTGTTTTTTTTTTTTGAGTGTTTTATTTTTAATTTCTGGACCGTCATCTCAATGTATGATATATATACACTCCATCTGTAAGGATGTTTAAAGTTCAATTGAATTTTACAAGTACAGCTGTATTACAATAACATGTACTAGTACATCTTGAATATAATGCTCTTGTTTTGGTGAACTTTGAAGAACAAAAAGCATCTCAAGAGCTGACTGGTACCTTTCTTAAATTCCCCGCTTCACACACAGAACAATTTAATTTACCGAGTATTGCACTGATACTCATATTATATAAAGAATTCAAATAACTTCAATTTTTCTGATTTGTACAAGCAGATGCACTTCCGCTGTACAATGCTCTATGAATTTACTGGTATTGAAGTTTGGTAAAACATCATGAACTTTGTGTTCCTTTATTTCGATCCATTTTCAACTTTTCTAGGATAAAGAAAACTCAAAAATTAGATTTTCAGTTATATTTATGAAAAAATATTGAACGTCTTAAACTAAACATAGAACACTCATTTCAATAGTTAAAATTGTATGTTCTTTGAATTAAATTCAAGTACAAGAAAAAAAAAATTTTAAAACTTTTTTTGAATAACAATAACAAAGTAATATAATTCAGAGGATTTTAAGTCAAGAATCTTGATCTGCTACATTGTCCTTAAGCACACACTGTGCATGAGCCTTTTTAATGTGCGTTTTTCTACTAACGTTGTGGTTAAACCTAAGCCCACAGTATTCACAGGTAAACGGTCTTTCTCCAGTATGAACTCGTGCATGGGTCTCCATGGCATACTTAGATATAAACTTTTTGCCACAGTAGTTACACAAATGATTTAAGATATTCTTGTGAGTTAATAAATGTCTTCGATACGAGGACATACTTTTGAAACTTTTTCCGCATTCATTGCAGGGTACTTTTTTTCCTCCATGTAAAAACTCCAAATGGCGTTTCAGACTTACTGCAGTAGT